ACTGATTAAGTTTATAACCTATATTAAGGAGCTGATTTATAATAAACAAGTATCGCATCGTTTGCAAATGGTATCTGTAAGATTAGGATCAATGGTAAGTACTATATAATTTGGATTGAACTAAAGTCATAGGTTATAAGTGGTTAATATTGCATTGTCTTAATCATCATAGTACCTATATTATAACTAAGATTTGAGGGCCTGAGTGCAATTCTTAAGGTGATTTTGATATATGATGAGGCAACTATGGTGTAGTCTATCATCTTAAGTTATTCTTGACTCTCTTTTTAGTTATAATGATAAATGTGAATGATGACTAGATACCATATCTCTTTGCTGTATAATTGGTTTATTGGTTTAGCAGTCTACTCAGGTAAGATACCCATTCACCTAGGTTTAATGAAAACTCAAACTGGGTTAAAATATACTAAAGGAGATTATGGTGATTTCAATGTGTTGTAAGTGGTATCATTTTATTAAAGGATATGCATCCAATATTAATCATTGGCGTGTGTCTAGTAAAAGTATTAAAAAAAAGTGGTTTAGGATTATGAAATTCAAAAACTGTGTTTGGAACTTTCCAAATGGATGTTTAATGTTGATCATTATTTGTTGAATTTAAAGATAATAAAAACTTAGATGTTATTTATGAAGAAGTTGCTGAAGATCTTGAAGAAATTGAAATAACTAAATAAATAAATTTTTTTTAATATTATAAATTAAAATATTATAAAATTAATGAAAAAATAATCTTTTATTTGTTAATATTTATTATTCTTTCTTTCATTTTTATTATTATTTTCATCCTTTTTAATTTATGAGAGTAATTTATTATATTCTTTTATAAATAAAAAGTTTGAACTCAAATACATTACTTTAAATATTATCAATAACATTATTTTATATTAGTATTTTTATAAGCACTATCTCCTTTTATTTTTTTGCATTCTTTATATATACTAAGTTTAAAAGTTGGATTACTTTCTCTATATTTATTTAAAATTTCAAAATAGAGTCATCAATGGAATGATTCTTAACACTAGTATGATTATTAATATTTTTACAAATTATTTTTAAAAAAAGAGTGTAATATTATATGTACTTAATATACTATTTATTGAAATGAATAAATTAGAGTTTTCTATTTATAAAATTACAAAATAAATAGCATGAAGATTTCCGGTCACAATATAATTAATTAATCATATGTAAAATAATAATAAAGGTAGATATAAGTGGTACTTAATGCGACAGGAAATTAAATTTCTTATTTTTTCTAATCACTTACTAAAGAATCGTTCTAAAAATTCTGGAAGTCTAATTTATAAAAAAGAAAAATAGATCATTAATGCTTATTATTTTTATATTTTCAAAAGTCATTAACAAAAAAAAAGAATCCTCTGAAAGAAAATATGAATCTTACATTAAAATAAATAAAAAATATATATATTTCTAAAATAAAAATTAAAATAAGTATTATTAAGTTTTTCAGTACCTATAATAAGAAAAAGGTGGTAAGTTATATTTAATGATTCACTTAATTACTTAAATATTTATAAATATTTATCATAGGACTCATCTTTGATCCAATCAATCCAAGGAAACGCATCTATAAATAAGTAATAAATAATAATTAAATTATTAATTAAAAAAAATACTGACCTTTCCTTTCACAGAACTCGCCTTTGATATGATTGATTCAAGGCTTTCGATAAATAAAAGGAAATGTCAAGTGATTATAATTTTTTAAAACAGGTTCTAATTAGCTAAGCACAACAGATTTGTACAATTTGAAAACTGAAATAAAAATATGTCAGTGATTAAAAGATTTGGATTATTGGTCAAAAATCAAGCCATTTCTTCAAAAACTTTTATGAATTTATGTTTTTCGTTTATGTTCAGAATTTTATTAGGAATAATTCATCCAAGCTATGTTGATTCCTATTTGGAGAAAGAAAAAAAGAATAATATGAAGCAAGTTGTATAGTTTTTTTCAAGTTATGGGTTCAAGGCCATTGGTTATTATAATTATCAAACTTTTTTAACCAATTTCCTTTAGTCATTTGTCTGGTTTAATTTAAAGTAAATTTAAAAGTATGCATTTAGCTAATGAGTAATATTTCTATATCTTAAAATTCTTTCTGATGTTAATTAAAATTGTCATAAATGCAGTATATATTAAGAAATTCTATGTGTAGTGCAGTAAATATAGATAAAATTCCATCTTTTGAGTTTGAGAAATTTTGCACGCACCTAATATTATGAATAGTTATTACTATTACCTAGAACACACCTTTGATTTGAGTATAAATCTTTGTTAATATTGAAATATAACACCAAAACTGAGTTCGAGTTTTAAAATCATTTTGGAGTTTCAAATTAAAATTGAATTTCAAAAAAAATAAGTTATTTGTAAAGAAATCACTAATCCAATTAATATCACATAAAACGTGATTATAATTAGTTTGTTAAACAAAAATAGTTTATTTTTTGATAATGATTAACAAATAGTTTTGATTATAATTTTAGGACATTAAAATTAAGCAATTATAGATAGAATGTGACTATAAATAGGGTGGTTATTGACATGTCTGACTTATCAATAATAAGAGATTTTGAAATTATACTTCTTTTTCTAGTAATAATTATAATATAAGACTGAAAATTTTGCTGATAAATAAAAAATTAAATATAATAATGAATAAGGCTTTAGTTAATCATTTCCATAATTAGTATTCGATAATGAAGATCATGAAGATCCTTGAATCCCACAATTTCACATTTTTTCATATTTTATATAAAATAGCATAGAATCCATTTAGCTTGCACCCAAAAATCCTTAACCAGTTAACAAGATAAACGTCTTAACCGGTTAATTAACCGGTTAAAAATTAACTGGTTCCAACCTCTAACCTAGACAGTAATTGTTGGATAAATGGTAGCTAGGTATCAAACACCCTTTATATTTACCTGTTTTTAGGTGTCGTAAACCTTCTTATATTTTCTTTTTTCTCACTAATATCTTCCATTTGGACCCGTAACAACACCCACCCCAACTCACCCACCCAAAAAGTTAATTTTAGATTTTATGTTCGTTCGAAAAGATTCATTCATCAAACGAAATAGGTAAACTTTAAGATATCAATTACGAAGTAGACAAGTTCGGGAAAAGAAAAGTGGTAAGTTGAGTTAGCTTAATGGTGAACATACTTCTTAGTAGCCATGAAGTTTTATTTACAAACTGGATCTTTTGCTTGTTCAATTGCCGTCATGTTTAATTCTTTATGGAGCCATTAATCTAACAACGATTTGCTCATGCTTCTCATGACAAATTACTTTATTTTTGAATTATATATAAACGCAACTCCATCATTACGCTCTGATTGGGGAACGTCCCTGTATATTAAGGTGGTAGATTAAATAATAATGAAGAAACAAAAATTTTGAAGCAAGAAATTATAAAGGATGGTTTGATGTGTATGAAGAAACGGGAGAACATATTTTAATAAAATGTATGTTATCGTTATAGAAAATGGTGGAAAGAGAAAGAAGTTTTCGAAATTTTTCCGATAGATTATAATGTATTTTTTGTAGTTATAAATGGGATAAACTTTATAAAAATGTTGTTTGCAGTTATAAACTTAAATCCTTTTGGAAAAATAAACAGATATCTAAATATGAAGAAAGAATCCATTAAAAGAACCATTTGCGAAACTAAAATAATCTGAGTAAGAAAGGAAATTCGGAAATTAGCAAAAGAAACGTTCTTTTTAATAATTTTAAAACTAAGATTTATAAAAAAGAACTATAAAATATATACATAATAAAAAAAATATATTCACATCAAAAAAAAAAATAGTGCGATATTCGACTTATGGTCTCGAGAATATATTGCGAGACGAAGACATCCTTTTGTTATTTGTATAACATCTTTCCAAATTGCACAATAAATTATAAATAAATATTTTTTTTATAATAAAATTTTATTTTTACATGTTACTTACTATTCAACAAATAATTTTTCTAAAAATTAATACTGCTAAAAAGCGGCAAATTATTACGAAGATCGTGTAATGAAAAAAAATTAATAATCGAAAGATTGAACATGATAAATTGATTCTAAACTCAATGTTATTTTGAATCAATAATTTATAAACTCTTTGAAGTGGCTTTTCCAAGATTTTGATATACGAAAAGCCAAAGAAGCCTAGAAGATGAGACAAATTCACATTCTTCGTTTTCATATAGAGATCGTCCAATCTAAATTAACAAAGAAACCTCCTTTATTATGTTAATCAAACCGGGGCAATTCTAGGACCGGACCGGCTATTTATAGCGTATCGCCACTTAATTGCAATAATTCAAATTAGGTATGCAATTTTTGTTAATTAAAAACAACAAAACAAAAAAAAAAGGAGTTCTTTATACTCTCAAGAATTTACCCATCTATAAAATAAGATGAACATAGTATTTAATTGACAATAATATTGAAACTATAAATAACTTCTTTCAATTAAATGTATTGTTTCCTAAATTAGTTACAAAAGGTTTCTATGTTGGTTCAAATATAAGCAAGGAATTTATTTCTGTTTCATGTTATAACCATTTAAGCAAAATGGTTGATCGTCTGTTTAATTTGGAATGAATGACATTTCAAATTAAGAAATTAATTATCGATCACTGCATTTCAAATCTGTTTCATATTACAACCATGACTTCGGTTTTCGGAATGAATTACCGCTTAACATGGCATGGCTAGAAATGTCGCGTTGTTATATATAATTTAAAAAATATATATATATACGCAAGGTAAAAAGGAAAAGAAATACAAAAACAATTCATCCTAAGGAAAAAAATTTTTTTTTGTAGATCAAAAACTTTTTTTTTTTTTTGGATAAATTAACGAAAAAAAATTAAGCATTATTATACTTAAATACATATTCATCAATATCGACATTTGTTTAACTACGAATTCTCAAAAACCTTAAAAAATATTCATTATGTTGCTAAAAGTTTTAGGTGTTTCTACAACATTCATTTCTATTTTGGTGTCAAATTTTTCTAATCCATCTATTTATCCACATATAGAAAATAATCGTCACTCTAAACAGTAAGTAACCTTAATTAACCTACTTACGAATCCTTTTTACAACACAAACTTAAAAAACTAACGAATATCTTTTTGCGTATTTAACTTTTTCGAAGTGAACAAATTTCAATTCATAACCATTATTCTCATCAATATCAACTTAAACCAAAATATTTTGCATTTTCGAGATATAGTCAGACAATGATTGATGAACCCATCGTTAGAAGAACTAAATCAAAAAAATCAAAATTAAGCAAACGAAAATAATTTTTATGGATTTAATAATTGATCATTCTTTTTAAAAAAAATGATCACAATAATGAATAGATCTACTGTACATAGTTAATGTTTATAAGTCCTTTTTCAACTTTTAATTTAATATATATATTAATAAACATACGGGATTTGGGTGGAATCAAGTGTGATTTCAGATACCATATCAAAGGATTGGTTGTTCAAATCGTTTATAATTAGGTCAATCAGTTCAATCAGTTCACGATTTCAATCCAATATTAAATTTTTTAACTTTAATAAAGGACATTAAAATTTCAAGAAAATAAAAAATATTTCAAGGTTCATACTTTTACAAATATTAGAAAAATGCGAAAACTAATCAAATAATCGCGTAAAATGTAAGGTATTTCCAGAAATAGTTATTTGCAATTACCTATAGTTAATTTTCTTTTTTCCGATTACGTAAAATTTCCCAATCATGATGGTGTGTAACAAAAACAAAAAATTCGGAAAATGGAAATCAAATTATTTTCTAAATGGAGTTATTCTGAACCCAAAAATCAAGTTTCATATCGATTTAACATTTTGTGTTACGCAACATAGTTATATATAGTCCTTCACTTCATGAATAAAAAAAAAAAAAAAAATTTTATAAAAATATTTTTTTTCTTGATCATTTACTTAATAACTTAACTTTATGGCACCAAGCATTGCAGAATTCGATAATACTAATGGAGTTTTTAGCGAACTACCACCGGGTTTTGTTATCTCTAACGATGGACTTCATATGGTTTTCGACAAAGAAATCGAAAAATCAAACAATGACGATCGTTCTTATAGAATAATTAGGTTAACTAATCAACTTGAAGTTTTAATCATTCATGATTCTAATACTGATAAAGCTGCTGCTTCTATGGATATTAATGTCGGCTCTTATTCCGATATGGTATGATAATTTGAATAATTACGTAAGAATTCCGTTAAAAAAGAGTAAATTATTTAACATTTTTAATTTAGGATAATCTTTTGGGTCTTGCTCATTTTTGCGAACATTTATTATTTATGGTATGATAGAAATTTTGTAAATCATTTTATAATTTTCGTTTTCATTGAATTATATTTATTACTTAATCAGGGAACGACAAAGGTACTTAATATGACATGTGATATAAACTATAACCATTCTGGGCTAGATTCGTCTCATCAAATTTTTTTTTTAGTACCCAAAAGAAAACGACTATAGCGAGGTATTTTTTTATAGCATTGCGTATGGCAAAGTGACAAAAATTTATTTTTTATTAATAGTTTTTAGATAAACATAATGGATCGTGTAATGCGTACACCTGTAACGAAAATACGAATTATTATTTCGAAGTCGGTCATGAATATTTAGAACCTGCATTAGATAGATTTGCACAATTTTTTATCAGTCCATTATTTGATGCTGATTGCACTGATAGAGAATTAAAAGCAGTGGATTCTGGTAAGCTGTCTTTTCTTTGTCTTTTATTTTATTTATTATTTTTTTTATCTAATATGAAAAAAAATTCTTTTAAATCAATGATTCAATTTTGTTTTTTTTGAAACAAATTATAAAATTTAGAATTTAAGGAATATCTTCAAAACGATGATTGGAGAATATCTCAATTGCAAAAATTACATTCCAATCCAAAACATCCTTGGTCAAGGTTTTCAGTAGGAAATTTAGAAACATTAAAAGAATCACCTACAAAAGAAGGTATAGATATTAGAGAAGAATTAATTAAATGGTATGAGAAACATTATTCTGCTAATCTCATGAAATTATGTATTTTGGGCAGCGGTATGAAATTTTTTTATAATTTATATATTTTGGTTATTTTTACACTAAAAACATTTCATTAATAAAAATATAAAAAAATTTTAGATCCATTGGATAAATTAACTGAATGGGTCGTTGAAAAGTTTTCTGACATTCAAAATAAAAATTTTGAATCATTAAAACCTGTTGAAATTCCGCTAAGAAAAGAAGAAGATTTATGTGTAAGCATCTTTTTTTTTTAATTTACACACCTTTAAATATTAAAATAAATCTTTTTTATATAGAAACAAATTTTAGCCAAACCTGTTAAGGATATTCATGCTTTAGACATTAATATTCCCATACCGAACCAAATAGAAAATTATAAAGCAAAGGTAAGTAACATAATTTTACATAAAATGATATACAAAAGTATTTATTAATATAATTCTTATAAGGCTGCAGAGTACGCTAGTCATCTAATTGGCCATGAAGGAGTTGGATCAATTAGCTCTTTATTGAAAAAGAAGGGTAAGTATCTAAAATAAATTTATTTCAATTCATATACTGTATATATATAATTTTGAGTTTTTTTTTGTTTAAATTTAATTTGTAGGTTGGATAACTAATATTTATGCCGGACCAATAGAGTTTAGTGTTGATTTTCATATAATGGAAATATCTGTTGATTTAACTGAAGATGGTTTAGGTATTCTAATTAAAATATCTACGTGGTAAAACTTTTGTTGTTTTTAAAGATACTATAATAATATTAATTATAATAAAAACAACAACAATAAAAAGAACATTATGAAGACGTGGTAGAAATTATATTTCTATATGTGGAAATGCTTAGAAGAGAGGGTCCGCAGGAATGGTTTTATAAAGAAGTAAGCAATTATTCAAGATTTTATTATTCATTCTTCCTAAATGATATATATATGTTTACTAAATATTTTTGTTCATAAAGATTCGAAATTTAAGCGATATTAAATGGCGTTATATGGAAAAATCTTGCGAATCATCTTATACATGCTCACTTTCGGAAACTTTACACAAACCATATACGCGTGATAGAATATTGAGTAGTCCATTTAAAGATTTTGAGTATAATCCAAAATTAATCGTTGAAATACTCAATTGTTTAAGAATCGAATATTCTATTATTAATCTCTCAAGTAAATTATTAAGTGATTTGGATCAAAAAGAAAGATGGTTTAATGTTGAATATAAATATACACCCATTAATGAAGAGTTGATTAAAGTAAGTGATGAATTTTATGTACTTGCTACATTTTGAAATTTTTTTAATTAATTTTTTATTTAATTTTTTATAAATTAAGAAACTTAAAAATCCGGTCGTTCCTAGTGAACTTAAACTTTGTTTTCCAAATGAGTTTATTCCCACCAATTTTACCGTTAATAAATCGGAAAACATAACGGTAAATATTTTATAATCAAGTTTCGAAATGAAGATTTATTTAATAAATTAATATTTATTATATTTATTTATTTGATTTAGCCAAAAACACGTCCTGATATTATTAGTGAAGGTGATTTTTATCGGGTTTGGTATAAAAAGGACGATAAATGGTGGGTTCCTAAAGCGAAACTTGATTTGTATTTTAAAACGTACGTAATGTATTATCTTTAATTTGTTTTTATTGTGATTATTCCGTTTACTAATTTATTTATAATTCTTTTATATATTATAAATTCTCTATAATAGTCCACTGATTAATCTTACATTATCAAATTTGGTTAAAACAAAATTATATCTTGACTTATTTAATGATGCATTTGCAGAAGAAGCATATGATGCATTACTTGCTGAAATATATTATTCGGCACATGTAACAAGTGATGGTACCATACATGTTAATGTATCAGGATATAATGATAAATCATTAGAATTGATGGAGTTGGTTTTAAAGCGTATGAAAGATTTTGAGATCAGGCCTGAAAGATTTAAAGTATTAAAAGAAAGATTGATGAGAAATTATAATAATACAAAACTTTATCAACCATCATCATTAACAGAAGAATATTATCGTCAATTATTTAAAGAAAATTATTATTCGGGAGAAGAAAAATCAGCCATATTAAAAGATATTAGTATGGAAGATGTACAATCATTTTTTCCTGAATTATTTAAACAACTTTTTATCGAATCTTATGTATTTGGCAACATGGAAATAGATGATGTGAAGATGATGATAAATATGATTGAAAATATATTTAAACCGAAGGTACTTGAAAAATATAGAATGGTTAAGAATAGAAATGTTAGATTACCTCAAGGAAAAAAATATGTTTATCAAGCAAATGTTTTTGATAAAGATGAATTTAATAATGCTATTGGATATTATTTGCAATGTGGTGATAATACGGACATATATGTTGTGACTAGATTAAAAATAATTTCTCAAATCTTACATGAACCGGTTTTTGATCATTTAAGAACCAAAGAACAATTAGGTGAATACTTAATTTTATTTTTTTTAAATAAAGTTATTTGTTTATTTTTTCGTCAATATTAAAGTTAATTTTTTAGGTTATTCGGTTTATAGCCATGTAAATAGTTCAATAGGAGAAATCGGATTATTGATTAATTTACAAAGTGAAAAAAATTCTACATATTTAGAAAATAGAGTTGAAGCGTTTTTAATTAAAACACAGGTAATTTGAAGATACTAATTAAGCATATTTTCACATAAGTAATTAATTTCTTTTTCTTATTTTTCTTAAAAAAAAAAATAAAATATATAGAAAATTATAGAAGAAATGTCAGAGGATGAATATCAAAAGCAAAAACAATCGTTGATTGATTCTCTTTTGGAAAAAGATAAAAATATGTGGGACGAAGCTTATAAATATTCTAAACAAATTTCATGTGGTTATTGTGATTTTTATGAAGGTAATTGGCTTATTTATATACAGTATGCTTAATATATCTCGTCATTATTGAACACATCGTTTGATGTTTTAATTTTACACATTCCTAATAGATATAAATATTGTTAAAGAAATAAAAACAGTTACAAAGGATGATATTTTGGAATTTTATAAAATTCATATTCATCCAAAGTCATCACACATCAAAAAATTATCGGTGCACGTAAACTCTTTAATATGTACAAATAATAATATCAATGATGCGACAAATGATTATAACAATTATGAAAACTTAAGTGATGATGCAAAAGAAAATGCCGAAGAAAATGATGAGAATGATGAAATTAATGAAGAAATTGAGGAAAACTATATATTATCTGAAGATAATATTTTAATTACTGATATCATAGATTTCAAAAATAGAATGTGTTTTGGACCTTCATCTTTTCCCATTATGCCTTTGAGCACTTTTTATGCTGAAGAAATGCTTAATCAACAAAAGGTTTAAATCGATATAGTCAATATTTCAATATTTTGAATTTTATTTATTTGGGAGGGTTGATATTAAAATCACGTCTCGTAACTTGATTTGTCATTTCAAAATAGTATTTTCAATTTAAATAAAATTTTAAAAATGATGACTTTATATAGATTATATTTCAGTTGATCTGTGAATAATCGTCTTCTAATTACTAGTATGTATACTCTTAAGTAAAGTGATGAGCACCTTCTAGATTTCTAGATTATAATGGTAATAATTTATTTAAGACTTTTATAGTTGTGGTTGAATAAGTAATATATTTTCATTTACTTTATTTGCGTGGCGTGAAGAAAATAGTATATAAAGGTTTAAAGAACATTGAATAAGACAAGATGGACAAGTTTCATATGCATCATATTATTTATTTAATTCTAAATAAATTTACCTTTTAATACATTAATTCAAAATTTCATAAGATAAAAGTCTGAATTTTCCTTTTTATTGATATAAAATTTTTAATAGTTGGATGATTCCAAGGTAAATTAAACATTATCTGAAAAATAATTAATCATTTAAATATTTAAATATTATTTACCTTATTGCGCTAATGAATTTTCAATAATTCCACTTCCAATACACCAATTACCATCCCATACAACGACGTTCTAATTAAAATGTAAGGTATAAATGATCAATATAATTTCTACAATAAAAAGAAATATTTTTGAGTCGGTCCTTACCTGACCAGGTGCAATTGCTCTTTTAGGCGTATTAAATTTCACGGTATACCTTTCATCAGATCTGAATGTATTGATATGATTAAAAATTTACAATTAATTTTAAGAGAGATCCCTTATATAAGAACACCTACCTTTTCGTTACTATGCATGGATCTGAAAAATAATAAACAATTAATTATGCATTCCCTCAATGATAAATTTGTAAAAAAAAAAAAAATTACCAGCACGTTGGCGATATCTTATCTGAGCAAGCAAGTTGACACCTAAAATATATTTTATAATTTTTGAATTGACTCCATTCAATATATAAAGAAAATGCTTACTCACCCTCATCAATTCCTTTAGGAGGTTCATGCCAATTCCATATCCAATCTTTTGCTACAAGTTTTGAAGAAAATAATAATTGATTTGCCCTTTTGAAAGAAGGTATATATATAATAAGAATATATAAATAAATTTACTTTATATAGATACAAATGATGATACTCACGATCCGGGAACAACGATTAATGAATTATTCCTGATATCCTTTTTCAAAACAAACCATCTATAATTATTATTAGAATATTATAAAATAATTATTAAATATCACGAAAAATAACTACGAAAAATAAAGTAAAAAAAATAAATACATGCCGATCTGGCCCATGATGTATTCTTGCACATTGTCCAATCGTATAGGAAAACAAACCACGATGCTGACCTAAGTAATTTCATAATTTCAAAACATTAAATACAAAAGCTAAAAAATTTCGTAATCCCAATTTAATGATTACCAATAACGGTTCCATCCAATGTCATAATATCTCCAGGTTTTGATACAACATACTGTTCCAAAAATTCAGAAAATCTCCTTTTCTTTCCCACAAAACAAATACCCATGCTTTCTCTTTTATTACAAGTTATCAAATTCGCCTCACGTGCAATCAACTTAACTTTCTGCTTATGTAAACCTCCGACTGGAAATAATACCTATGGAATAAATAAGGAACCTTTTAAATTGTGCATATCATGTATACAAAAAAAAATGATCTAATGCAAATTTACCCTTTGAAGTTTTTCTTCAGCGACTGTTGATAAGAAATAACTCTGATCCTTAGCAATGTCGGTTCCTAAAATAAACAATTAAATCATCTCTAAATTTTATGAAAAGAATATCTAGACAATAAAGACGGACCTCGTATTAATTTAACTCGCCCAGAATCTGTACGTTCAAGTTGAACGTAATGTCCTATATATTTACATAAGAAATTAGCTAATATTTAATTAAAATGATAATTATATTATTATACCTGTAGCTATCCAAGTACTTTTTTTATCTTTGCCATTAATAGATTCTAAACATTTATTTAAAAACCATCCAAATTTGATTTCGCGATTACATATAACATCGGGATTCGGTGTGATTCCATTTTCATAATCCTCGATCATCTTGATAAACACTTGCGACCAATATTCTTTAGTAAAATCAAACTAAAAGTAATTATGAGAACCTACTCTATAACAATTTGATCATTACTTATGCATGGTTAATTTACCTGCTTGCAAGGTATATCCAATTGTTTACAAACTGTTTGAACATCTTTCCAATCTTGATCGCTCGTGCAAATTCCATTTTCATCGGTTGTGTCCCAGTTACGCATATAAACTCCTTCGACAGCATATCCCTATTTTTATTTTTTCCTTTAAAAAAAATTATTCATTAAAAAAAAATAATTCACAAAAAAAAATAAGAATTTTCATACCTGCCTTTTTAAAAGATGTGCTGAAACACTCGAATCGACGCCTCCTGACAAGGCTACTATGACTTTAAATAAAACATAAAACATAAATAAATTTTACTAAAAAAAAAAAATGAATATAAATACCTTTATCACCCGGAATTGGATTTCTAAAGTGACTTGCATAACGACGAAAAAGTTTTGATGATGAAGATATGCCGATGCGGGAAATCATTTTTTTTTTTAAAAAAATTTAATCTTGATTTTATCTATCATACCGATCATCATTTTTTTTTTATGTTACACCATTTTAAAATTTTTTTCTTTCCCCTAAAAATAATTTACATTTCTCGCTCTTACCCAAATTATCAATAAAAAATCATTAACAATTGTATTGTATTTAAGAACCTCATCAATGAAAGAACCAATTTTCTTATTGGTTTCGATTTAAATTAGGCTGAAGATAGGTTAGTCGAGAATTTTCGAAGACTTTTTTAGTCAAACAATGAACCGATTGTTGATATAAAGAAAATTCTTTTTAATTTGCTGATTTATTTAATTCTGATTGAATTATTATTTATCGTCTATATTATAGCGAACTCAATACCTGAATCTTTTAACAAATTTTTATTCCAACTTAAATGAAGATAATGATATCTTATCGTCTATAACTGTTATAGTAATGCAGACAATTTGTACCGATAGCAGTGATTGTTTACAGACGGACAACCCAAGAACAAATGCTGAAGCAAAGACTGTTGAGGTGTCAAGAAGTATAGGCATTAAAAGAACAAGGTTTGAACCATTATTTTTTATTATTTGTAGTTGATTACAATTAAATTCTAACTTGTATCGTTAATTAATTATGGCTAGGAACTAAAATAACTGCTGGAGTCATATAATTTTAACAATTACAAATTTACTAATTGTTGATGATGGCTTCGTATAAAAAAAAGCCTTCATTAATCTTCCTCATATTTATAGCCAAAAAAAATAATCCATTGATGGGTAAAAATAATGGATATTGCACAAATCACATACAATGGCTGTAAAAGTATTAACGAAAGCAGGACAAATAGTAGTCTGTTCGCTACCGGTATTGTTACATGACATGTAAAAGAAATTTTTGGCTTATCAAGCATCAAATTAATTTCATGTTAATGAGGATCCTTAAGAAATTCGTGCATTGATTACAATCAGTAAAGGTAATTTTATTCATCATCGGACATTTTAACTATTAATATAAATCCATTAATAAAATAAAAATAGCCCAATTCAGTATGATCACGTCGACTATTTTCTATCATTTCAATATTATTGTTTTAATAGGTGTTAACCTAATTCTTATTTGTTTTAAGTGTAAAATTATTAATAATTAGTTCAAAATTTGTAGTTAAAGTTGGAATGTTATGAAGCAGATTAATATGAAATTAGAGGATAATAATGCTATATATTGAAATCCAAAGAAAGTAAGTAATCTAATTTATTTCAAATTCAATATATGAAAATATTATGTTTGGATAATTAATATTATTACTTTTTTATTCTAAAGTCTTACTTTTATTGGTTGTAACCAAGAGACAAATAACATGATGTCTGTATGTCTGAATCAAAGATTTAAGAAAGGGATTTTGAGTATGCTTTGACACTAAAGAAACAAAAATATTTTGATATTCCATTACATTTTTTACAATAAATATACATCTTTTGTATATACATGGTGAGCAAAATTAATAATACATATTGTTCTTAAACTCCGACCCTATAGCATTATTGGTACAATTTTTAACAATTCAGATTTACTGTAAATTCAAATTTTGATGGTAATGTGATATAGTTTCTTTAAAGTTCCGAATTCAATATCAATAAGCATTTACATTGCATGAGAAATTTATTAATAATGGATAGAATCTTTCTAAAACTACGAAGAATTCCAAAGCCGGTTGAAATATAAATGCCGTTGTTTATAATATATCCTCGAACTTGTGAAGAATTTATAGAAATAGATAAAAAAAAAAACCAAAACTGTCTTGCAAATCTGTCTACATATTGTCATTACTTAGTGCTTCTGATTTTTTACATTACGTGATTATCCAATTTTTTTCCTAAAAAGATTGAGTCAGCCTTGGTGGTGGGAGGATTCAATTATATGATCTTATACTGGATCGAAAAATCGGAATTTCTTGTATCACAACATCTATTACATCATGAGACGATTTGAAGAAAGGAACGTTTTGATGAAGAAATCGAACAACCAAAGATAAGTACGTATTATCATAACTAAATATTAATGATTTGGAAAGCTAGAAGATCAATTACCGGAATTTCATGATGTGATACTTGAGTGATTCTAATCGATTCATGGTCAGCATGTGGTTTTGGGGTCGGCTTTTATAATATCCCTAATCCAGATTTTCGAGATGTTGATCTTAATTACTTCATTTCCATGGATGATGAATTCATTTTTGGATGGCGGGCCAGTAAACAATAAATGTATGTAATCAACTAACGAGAACAATCTAATATAAGTTTAACGCCTTAGCTAGGTTTCGAAGACTTAATCTTGTTGGTCCATTTTTTTTATATGGTTCAAATTACTATTCTAGATAAAATATAACATCAGCGCAGTTAGCTTTTATGTCACTTAGTTTTCAAAATCACACAGTATAGCGAAGGATTTTATGAATATTGTTATAAATTCAATAAAGGAAATTCGTGGAAGATCATCTATTTTAAAAGTGTTTGCTAATTTTTTTCTTGTCCATGAAGAAATCTGTTCAACTTGCTAGGGATAAAATTTTTACTTAGAGTATTGGTAATAATAAAATAATAAATCAATAATAATAATACTAAATATAAAAAAAAAATAATAAATGCTAGCTAATAGTAAAAATAACTATTGTAACAATACTGTTTCATTAATTAGAATAAATAATTTGACATCTAACTTTTATGCCTCTATAAAATCTACAACTAAACATACAAAACTATTAAATAAAATATTAAAGTATTAATTTTATTAAAAAAATCTATTACCATCTGCGTATATCATCTCATTTGATCAGAGGTTCATTTCCTTTTTTTTTTTAATCAATAATAATGGAGTAGACGGAGTAGACTCTCATTTGAAATTAGCGACCATAATTGTATCATTAATATCTTAATATTTATCAAAAAATTTTAAAATTTAATTAATGTTGCAAAAAATAGATAATTATAAGTTTCATCATAAATAATGTTGACAAGACTAAAAATTTGAAGTTTTATTTAATTAAAAATTTCACAATATTCTGACCTTATATCAAATTTGGAACAGCGACTCAGTCATGGCTCAGTCATTGAAATTTCCGAAGTCGACTCTACTTGATTTTTGCAGAGTCGACTCAGTAACTCCAACGGCTGGTACTACTAGTAATAAATATTCATTTCTTTTATTATATATTTGAATTAATTAATTTAAAAAACATCACTATTGAAAAAATGATAACATATTATGCGCGATAATATTAACTAATGTACTTTGGGCGGCTAAAGATCATAGAAATACAATTCTAACTTACATTTCAATTATGAACTAATAAGTGTTATGTTACTGTGAAAGTAATTTCTCCATGCTTTGGAAGTTTACGCAATCAATTTATTGCATCAAAATGCCTATGTGGAAATTTAACCCTAACCCTAACCCTAACCCACCCTAAATGTTGTTTTATTTAATTATTTATTATGAATTAAAAATTTATATAATAAATTAAAGTCCGTGCGGAATTATAATATGTATATATATTAGAAATTTTACAAGTGTAAGATTAAATAGTAAAAATAAAATATAAATTAAGTTATCATATTTATCTCTCCTAATATATTTAATTCATAAATTATCTATTGATTTATATTAGGATTTCCGTTTTCATCATTTTCAAAGAAATTTTAAATTTAATTACAGAACGTCATAATTTTTTTTTTTAAGGTTGCCTCACATAGTTATAAATTTTAATATCAAATCATAATTTGTATTATTTGAATGACTTTCGTAACGTTTTATAAAAATGCAGTAGCGCGGCAGCATCGAATTTTTTCATCAAATAAATTCAATAAGATGATAATTTTCTTTCATGCGAGAATGATCATTATATTCACAATACAAATAATCACAAAGAATAGTGATATTTGGTTTCCTAGAAGTAACAAAACCCTGCGGAAGATGACGATCGGAATAATTCAAGTTCTGGAAAAATAAGTCCAATGACGCGAAAAAATTTTACTTTACATTATTTTATTATGATGATGATAAAATAATGATATATATATAATATTAATTACAATACAATAAAAATAAGGAAAATATAAAAGTACAAATTTACGTTAAACATCTTTACTCTTAGCGATCGACAACAATTCTTTAACATCATTTTGCAACATCATCATCTCATCTTGTAATTTTAAGAATTTCTCATCATTCGTGATATTGGTATTATCCTCATGACCACTACTATTCAATTTAATTTTTTGATCATTTTTACCTTTATTTGCCACATTTAAAATTTTTTCGTCTTGATCATCATCTGAATCATCCGAATCATCTGAAACCTTAGGACATTTTGATAATTGACAATTAATATCTTCAATTAATAATGATTTATGAAGTTTTTTAGCTTTTTGTAACCATTCTTCTTGATATTCAACACTTCCAACATAATAAATGTATCTCGGGTTCCCTCTTGAGCTACCTAATAATTTTTCTAACGTTTCATAATCAGCGACTAAGTCAGCTCTATAACCTAATACCGCCAATTTTACATTCTTTCTTGCATTCTCATATACACCTGTCATAAATGCGATCAACAAATTTTGCATAATAATGACTATTAAAATACTTGCACCTAAATATAAAAGATTTATTTAAAACTTTAAAAAATCACATCATCAGAACGATAATAGATTAAGTATAGAATATTTACCTATACTAATTACATAAATTGGCCAAAAGTCCCACTTTTCTAATTGATCCCATCTTCCAAGGATCCAAAAATAAGAACCTATAACAGAATAAGTCAATTTTCTATAATAATTATCCATAGGATCATTGAGGTCAAATACTTGTTCAAATGTAAGGCCTTCAAAGTCTGGATTTTTTGAGTTTACCACCATAAATTTGTTGCCGCTAGGTTTCAAATCAATAAGCTCAGGTTTCACTAATATGACATGCTAATGAAGTTATTATTAAAATAAAAAACGAAAATGAGTAACAATAAATCAGAGTGATCTTTAACAAATCTCGGATAATAAATAAAATAATACTGTAATAGTACAAGGCAGACATACAATGGCATGACCGAAAGCAAAGGTTGCGATTAACTACACAAATTTAAATTAATTAATTTATTATACAAATGTTGATTCATTAGTCCTTCTTATTATAATTAAATTTACCATAAAAATTAAGAATGGCCAAACAGCCTTCAAAATATTAATAATCATACTAATATAAGTTGCTGTACCTTTAAATAAAATTAATTTAGTTGATATGCACAAATATAATTGTATAATAAATGAATATAAAAGATATTTACCTTTAAAGTATCGCGTCAGCAATAACTAGATAAATAAAAAGTTATAAAACTATTGATGATTTAGAAATAAAAGTAACTTAATAAATTAAATACTTACCAATTCTAACCATAAAAGTAAGATCGCAAATGATTTCAAAATAATGGCCTTTTCTTCAAATATAAATTCACTAATATAATTGATCATTGTAATTATTGCAAGAATAACTGATACGACATCAAGAATGTTATATATGTTAAAATATCTTTTTAAACCCTCGTGTCTAGATTGTACAAATTCCGTTGCCAAAAGATGATATCCAATATAAAAAAATAATGAAAACAATACTTTTGAATATGCAAAATCTTTGTTAATTCCAGTAAATAGAACAAATGTGAACGAAAAAGCTATGAATTTTACAAAATTTTGTAAAAAATGATTCCTTGCTGCTCCCCATTTAAAATCAATGCAGGCTTCCATTGCAGGATTATCATACAATTGTTCATTTTCATTTTTACTTATAAGTTCTAGAAAAGGACTAAAATGATCTTTATCATGAACCATATATCTTCTTGGTAAAAATATGAGTTTAATAAGTTTTAACGGAATCATCCAATTGTTATGTGTTCTGTCTGTCGCATTAGTTGGATAAACTGTAAAATTCGGTAACGGCACTACACGTACTGTTGTTAATCGTGTAACATTTTTATCAGTTGCTCCTGTACTTTTTTCATCTTTTGAATCCGTTGATTGTGTATTTTTTTTACCCGTTGCTCCTGTAATTTTTTCATATTTTGTATCCGTTAATTGTGTAATTTTTTTATCCGTTGCTCCTGTACTTTTTTTATCTGTTGTATCCGTTGATTGTGTATTTCTTTTGTCCGTTTCTTTAAACCTTTTGAGAATTTCCGACTTTAACGTTAATATATTCCACCAATAAAGCTCATTTTGTCTCCGTAAGAGTCGCGGCCTCACATTTAATGAGCAAATTTCCACCTTTTTTTAATTTACTTTGAGACACGAATTTTGAATCTACAAGCTCTTCTTTGGATCCAAAGCAAGGTTTGTAAAATAATTCCTTTAAATAAGATTCTGTATATATAATGATGCAAATATTATTGTCTGACTATATTACGTATGAAAGACGCAACCTAAGTTTGAGAAGCTTACCAAAATGATCTTTTTTAAGCGAAGAAAGAGACTCTGTAACAGTAAACATCCAACCTATCGTAACGTAACAATTATTTGAATGTTTATTTGTTATTCACGCGTGAGAGTGTAATTAACTCACCTGTATCTTCTTCCGCATTATTTGAATAATATTCAAGTAACATAGCGACGATAGATTTATCCCTACGATTTTCACCTAAAGTTTGGTTAATCGCAATCATCAAATCACTTATTTTCATTTCCATAGTCCATTCATATTGACTTGGAATATGCAAGTTACGACTAACTCTTGTTTTAACTTGTTTTTTGCTATCTGCTTCATAATCGAATAGAATCCAATGTAACAGCGGGACATGCTTTGATCGAATGATATTAGCCATGATTCCGTAACGTACTTCAGATAAACTCCATAAACCCGGATTTTTTTTGATACATTTTTTAATGAGTTTTTCTATGCCTATAAACAATTCACTAAATTTGTTTAGATTATTAGACCCTGCTGGTTCATATCTTCGCTCGTAAAGATACTCTATGGCAACACGTGCATCTTTAAGGACATGAGCTTTATTTGGCCAATGAATATTCTCTTTTATTTTTTTCACTTCATTCTTTTCAATACATAACAAATCTAATGAAAATTCACAATTTCCAATCTTAAGAGATTTAACTTGAATCTTTTGTTTACCTACAAAAACCCAAATATATTTAAAAACTCGTTTATTTTTAGAGCCATGACCTTTTTTTTCCTTCCAAACTTGAACTGTGGTTTCTCCAATTATAAGTTGAATTGTTTTACTTTCATCAAGATAATAAGGTTTATGTCTACTTTTATCACGACGAACCCAAGGTTCTCTATTAACGAAGAATGGTCCTTTTTGTTCTTTCTTGGCATCCGACCCTTCTAGATTAATGGGTGATATATTAATTTGTTTTAATTTGCTTTTAACATACGACAATCCACAACAAATATTTTCTTCCGGTAATGATACAAGAATTGTTCCACTTGAGCAAGCTATCGAGTGAATATTAGATTTTCGTAACGAACTCAAAATCTTTGAATTATCGTCAAACATTTGTACATCATTTTTAAAAGTGAAAAGGTCCCATATATAAATTTTTGGAGTGATTGTTTCATCATAAGCTTCGGCTTCTTTAGTGAATGCTTCAATGGTATCTTCAGTTCCTTCTTCCGATGCTTCTTCAGATGCTTCTTCAGTGCCTTCTTCAATGGTTTCTTCAGGGGCTTCCTCAGAGGATTCCTCAGTGACATTTTCAGTGACAACAAATAATCTTTCATCATCGTCAATAAATGAAATTGAAAGGATTTTCATTGCGTCAGTAAATTCTTTCGTAGTAATCTCAAGTCCATTTTCCATTAAATAAATCGTAATACTCTTTGTACCATTGCAATATGCTAATAAATGACCACGTTTTGAAATGGAAAATATAGCATTTCCATGCACCTTCGTTGAAATGGCAACTTGATCACGCTGTTTGAATGTCAATTCTAAATTCATGGATTGTAAATTATACATTTCAAGTATCTGATTTTTATAATCTTCAACAAATAAATATTTTCTTTCAATGATGGTATTTAAAAATCTTGTACAAGTTGAGTCATGATATAATTTATCAAGTTTAACTTTTATAATGGTTGGAAATTCATATTCTTTCGCGACCAAATTTGACAAATAATTTTCAACGATCATCGACGTACTTTTAAAGATTGATCGATTGGGTTTACTAGAATTTGTGATTAATGCTTTAGTAATGCCAGAAGCGTTCATTAAAATTAGAACCTCATTTTTAATTTCGAGTACATCACATTTAGGTAATTCGTTCGATTGATCGGCCTTCTTCACCGAATCGTTTTTCAAAAATCTAATGACCCCACCGCGATTATCTACAGTACTTTCGATACGCTCATGCTTATCTTTTGATATAAATAACACAAACGTTTCTGTTGGATTTTCTTTCCTAGATATAAGACCTAGTTCTGCATCAGTATAATTTTTTGGAATTTTGTCCGAACTAACATTTTTATCTTTATTATTATTATCGTTTTTATTTTTATTATTATTTTCATCATATCTTCGTCACAAAATCGTGATACAGCTACAAATGCATCATTTTCGGTATTTACGGGATCAGATATGGCCAAAGAAAAATATACTTTTTTAGATTTTAAATTATATTCATCCATTTTCATCGAGTTATCAGGTGTAGTTAAATTATCTTTATTGTTAACCTCGAAGTAAATTTTAATTTCAGAATTGACTAATCGTAAATAAGGGGAATGGAATGATAAAATCAACGATTATTTCAATGATATGTCAAAGTGTAAAAGAATTATATTAATTAAAATTCATACCGGAATTAAAAGTCGCCGCAAGAACACCGTTCGGACTTGTAGCTAAATAAGTGGATGAATTATCATCACCCAAACTATACTGTATTGATTCTTTTACTGAAATATCTCTCATTCTATAGTTAATATTTTATAGTACGATAAGATAACATTTATTATGTTTACACTCGGCGTATATTTATACATTTATTTTCCCCAAAAATATAAATGATATCCTAATTCGTTTTCTTTCAGAACAATTAAATTTTAAGTATTTGTTTGTGTGTTTCCTGATGGTGGCGTTTTTTTTTTAATATTGTTCCATGAATGTCACAAAAATTTCATAAATGACTGACTTGTAGAATTAGGAAATGTAGTGCTCCTAACGGGTCAAGTCGGGTCGGGTTTTGAGAATATATTCGACCCGATCTGAATGAAATAGGAAAACCCGTAAGTATTCGGGTCACAAATTTTTCATAACCCGAATCGACTTGACCCGAGTATAGTTTAACCAGTATAAACCCGAGTCAAGACTAAAGATGATAAATGGTCCTGAAAACTTTGGTCTGTAGCATAAAAAGACCGGACTCAAATAACCGCAGTCCCTCTACAGTCTTCTATTCATGTGATTAAAATCAAAAGACCGGCAGTCTTTTTGTAAAACTTCGGTCTTTTTTTAAA